AAAAAACATATTGTTTTTCAAATCAAATTTATTTTCTTTGTGATACCACACATCTATATCATCTTTACACTTTTAGTTTATAGATACTTTCTTTTCTATTATTTGTGGTTTGGGCAACTAATTATAAAAAAGAAGGAAATAGATGATTTTCAAAATTATTTTCAAAATCAAATTTTTATTTTCTTTAAATTATAAAAAAACTCTAAATTAATTTTCATTATCACACATCTATATCATTGATTTTCACTAGCTCCTACAGGCTCACTATCTTAATTGTCGATACCACACATCTATATCAACGATTTTCCTTCTTTGATATAGATGTGTGGTCATCAAATTTTAATTTTTATTTATTTTAATTATGTTCAAAAAAGGAAAGTATAAAAATAATTAATGTTAGTTGCGAATAACACAATAATAAACATATTAATTTATATTAACTAATTGAAAAGTTGATAAGAAATCGTGATAATCAGTTATTTGCCTTAGATAATCGTTAAAATTTGATTGGTCGATTATCAAACCAAATCATACAAGGAAACAAACTTATTATGGAATTTATTATTAAACACATACAAAAAGGTAAATGTGAAAAACAAAAACCTGATTTTAAAACAGATTAAATATAAAGAAAAGTAATCAAACATTTTACATTTTTCAACATTAAAAAATTGAATCATCTTATCATTTTCTAATCAAAATAAAAACTTGATATCATACAATAAAAGATATTAATATATTTTAAGAATCTACACTTATAAAAATTCATATCAAAGATACAATATCAGTTATACAACTTTATATCGTAAATATTACTAAAATATGTTAAAACTAAAGGCAAATATATAGGTGTTTCGTTAAAGAGATTGATTTTGAAAAAACAAAATTATGGTAAAAAAGTTATTTAAATTATTTGATCTTTGGATATATAATATTTAAATCAAAAATTATTTTTTGATAAAATTTAGCGTTACTCAAAAACTTCATAATATTTATACTTACAACGATGGTACTTAAAGTGTTGATGTATACAATTACTGGGAAAAATTGATTGTTTAAAATCCATACAAAATTCATATAAATATATACGTCAAATATTAGTATTCTACTTTTTATAAAAATTGATAAAAACAACAAAAAGCCGATACAAAGATGCTAAGAAAATATTGTAGTTCTTATAAAAGTGAGTTCTTACCATATCAACTGCTTACGGAATATTGCGCAAAAGTAGGATAGTAAAAATTCGAGGGTCCAAGAGTTTTCTAATAGAAATAATACATACCTCGTCAGTAAACTATATAGTAATGGAAAATGAATCTAATATTAAAAAAATCCGCTCGACATTTTACATTTTTATATATTTACACATTTGAATCTTATATGGTCTACTTTAAAGGTATTATTTTTATAGGATATATGATATTTGTTTAGGATGCTAAAAGATTTTTTATATGTGTAATATATGTTTGATGTACAAAATATGAGTTTTTTTAATCTTTTATCTAACAAATAAATAAATAAAATGTCAGCTTCTTGGTTATTCTCATAATGTGGCTGATTTTTTTTCTCATTTGCGAAGTGACTGGATTATTTACGTGGAATTCATGTATTAAGTCAAAATAATCTAAAACATTAAAAATTAATTATTAATATTACTAAATCGGAAAGGAGTTTAAGAAATATTGCGACTATAAAATAGTTGTTTTAAGATTTGATAAGGTTTATGATGAAAAAGATATTTGTTTGTAGTGATAACTAGATGGACTACCTGCACGTCTTTGCGGGCATTAGTATAATCTATATATTGCATGTATAACAATTAATATGAATGTATAAATATATTGTAACTCTTTTTCTCTTTAACTTAGGTATTCAGTCTTTTAGATATATATATATATCTTTCTATCTTACTTATTTTGTTTTTTCTTGTATTTTTGCACACATTCATTTTGTTTCTTATGTATCTCTCTTTGCATTCTTTTTTTTGTCTTTGTACCTCTTTCGCTCTTTTTATTCTCTCTTTCTCTCTATCTCTTTTTTGTTGCAATTTTTCACCAGATTTTGTTAAATCTTCAAAACACTCTCACATAATATTAATAAATGATTTCAGAATCTATCTAATTTATATTCAATTTCACGTATATTCGCTTTCATCTTCATTATAATCATAACCGTCACTCTAATCCTTATCATCACCATTTCTCCCTCTCTTTCTCCATGTCTTACATATTTTTTTATCTAGAGTTTAATATAAAACTCACAATTGGTTATCCAAATAAATTCATTATCAAATACTCTTCAATCTTCACACTATCTTATCAAACATTAATTCATTTGACCAAGATTCTCATTGAAAAAATAAATATTTGAAAAATATATTAAATTTGGTTTTTTTAATTACTTCAATACATATGTATTTTAAGTAAATCTGATTAACTGTATTCCAAAAAAAATATTTGATTAACTATTTATATATCATAAACATATCTTAATTCTTAAATGATGTGATGTCGTTATTTATACATAGATACTTAATATAAACGTGAGATTAAAATAGTTTTAATATATCAAAATAATATGTTTCTATTTGTATAAATTTTATTATAACTTTGTTATCATATATTTTAAAAGTTTATTATACAGCAAAAAATATTTATCATAATTTTAAAATAATTTATTTTTAATTTATTTTTTTTTTATTTTAGTAATACGTAAAAAATATTTTGCTATACAAATTAAAAATTATGTATGTAAAAATACAAAAAAAAATGAAGAATACAACAAAAGGTTTTATTATTATTCACTCATGGTTTTTATTATGTCTCTTTTCTTTTCTTTTACTTATTAAAAATAAACATGCCAATTTTATTATACTGAAAGCTATATGAATTATATGAATAGAATATTAACTCTAGTCTTGTATTAATATAATGTTTCGATTTTTGTAATTTTATACTATAATCAAAATTTTCATTTATTCATATATTTTTAAATGACTTACCCTATAATTTTCTGTTTAAAATATAAAAGACTTTAATAATTTTTGAAAATAATAACTCAACTATACTAAAATGATAAAAAAAAATTAAAATTGTACATTTTACTATTTTGCATTCATTGAACATATTTTAAGAATACATATATATAGTGAGTGAATATAAAAACATTATTACTTTTCTTTAATGTATGATTTTTTATCCACCATTAATAGAAAAAAAAATAAAATCATTTCTAGACTTATTTCTAGAATATAATATGTATTTATATGTATATTCTAAATTTTTATAATGGAAGCTGTGATATGTAATTGTTTCTAAAAACAAATTTTATTAATCCATATGTATTTAAGATGGTTAATTGTTTATTTGGTAATATAGTATTAGATTAGGTAATTCTAGGATTAGATTCCTTTTAAAAAAATTAATTAAATAAATCAAAATCAAAATCTAAATGTCAAAAACCAATCAAATTAAGAGAATTAATTCTACAATGCACTTATTAATGACACCAAAGCAAAATTCATTAAAATGACTTCTCATTTAATACATAGGAGGATATTTTACATTAAATGAAAATTATATACTGGATTTTTTAAATATTTTTTTTTTGCAGCTAAGCGTTTTATAACGACTAGATCTAAAAATTAAAAGGTTCTAAGTTATGTTGAACTCAAATATATTTACTGTACTACTAATTAAATTTGTGGTTATTCTACCCCAACTAAGTTTTATAATTTTGACTATATAGTAGAATAAAGTCCAATTTAATTATTTTTATTGGGATGTCGTTCATCTCTCAAAATTATAATTAATTGTTTGGTATTTTATTTTTACTTTATTTAATTAGATAAAGAAAATAAAGTAATATTAGAACTAATAACACCTTTCGCCAGACAACCCAACAATTTTGCATGCAATATATAATCTGAAATTGAAATGTATTTGTTTCTAAGCAAACTCAATATTAATATAAGTTTAAAATACTAAATTAATCAAAAAGTATTTATACATCTTTTGTTTGCAAATATCTGCCACCTTAAAAATAATAAAATATTGAATTTAATTTTTTAAAAGTTTAGACGAATGTAAATGATGAAAATATATTTAATTTTTAAAATTTAGATACAAAATATAACATCACATTTATATTTTTAAAAATGTTTTTATATCCGCGAATTTGCGGATATCTACCTAGTATATATAATATTTGCTAACTACGAGAAGAAAGTGGAGTGGCAGCTCTATTCTTTCAGAAATTGTTGGAGTCTGCGGAAAAAAAACTTGTTGCTGATTTGATTAAGAGAATCTCTTGAGGAATAGGCTAGAAGTTATTGTATTTCAATATCTAACAGCAAATTCACATTGTGGAATGTGGATCAAGAAAACATGGAATGTAACCATTGCAAGCAATGACATGGAAAGTTGTTGACGCATTTTGAATTAGTTCATTTATCACCTGTTAGTGGATTTGAATGACTAAGAGCTAGATTTAGACTCTGATCACCAAGAAATGGGTGTGAATCTATCTATCTATCAAGATTCTAGACAGTGAAGTACAAAACCTGTTTTCTTCTTATCCTTGTAAAGTTTACAATAGTTTTGACCAAAAGAGTTGGGTTTTACTTTGTACCTGGCAGTCTAACACTAATTAAGTGGAAAGATGTGAACTTTTTGGTTTTATTTTTCTAATGCAAAGATGTGTGCATTTTTAGAATTGTATTGTTCACAGGTGGGCTCATTTAGTGGGTGTGACAAAAGCAATCACATAAGCCGTTGCCAATATTGACTCTCTAAACTTTTGGATTTATGTATATAAACTGTATTAGCTGAATCTTTAATATATATAGAAGCTTGATGATGTCTTACTCCACGATCATAAGCAACAACAGGTTACTCTCTCTCGCCTCAAAGTTCACTGCTTGTGGATCTCTTCTTCAGGTAAACATTATCGCAATCCATTTGGGAGTCTTATAAGTTCTCTGGGCTTGTGGTTGATCTGAGTACTGATTTTGAGACAAAAGTCTCCAACTTTTGATCAGTCTTTGTGTCCACACTAAGATGCTCTGTTTTTGTTCAAGAACCTCTGTTTTTCATACTAAGATCCTCTATTTTTGTTCAAGAACCTCTGTTTTTCATACTAAGATCCTCTGTTTTTGTTCAAGAACCTATGTTTCTCAAACTAAAGTTTGATCTTTGTCATAAGTGTACACTAGCAATGGCTTGATCTGCGGTTGATGAGACATCAGACTCTGGAGCTTTTCAAAGAACTGCTTCAACATTCCGTAACCTTGTCTCAAGAGATTCCAACTCTCAGTGCCCAACTGAATATGGTAGATACCATCTTTACATATCGTATACTTGTCCATGGGCTTCTAGATGCCTCTCATACTTGAAGATCAAAGGACTTGACGATGCTATAAGCTTCTCGGTTCGTAGACTCAAAGCCCTTTAAAACTGCTTATGTTCATGACAATATTGATTGAATAGTTGCCTTGCTTGGTTTGCATCAGTCAGTTAAACCCATTTGGGGAAGAACCAAGGAAAGTGATGAGCATAAGGGAACGAATTTTTGATGTTGAAACGTTGGTGCAGGTTTATGCGGTTCACCTCAAGTGCAACCAGAAACTCTTAAGAGAATATCCGAATCTGTTCAACTACACGAAAGACATTTTCCAAGTACCCGGTATGAGCAGCACCGTGAACATGAATCATATCAAGCAGCATTACTATGGAAGCCACCCTTCGATTAACCCTTTTGGGATCATCCCTCATGGACCAAACATCGATTACTCTTTGCCTCATGATCTACGCAGATTCTCCAAATGATAAAAACAAAGCTTTCTTCGCACTTGAGTTGAGTTGTGTCTTCAGAAAGTTACGAAATAAAGTGTGTATATTTTAATATTTTAAAGTGATGTTTGAGTTATGTTTTGAGAAAATAAAAAAAATCGTTTTTAATATATTACAGTTTGCAGTCTCAATGGTTGAGACAATGCTGATCTACTCGTAAATAAACTTTTCTTCCGACTAGACATTTCTTTCCTGAATTCAAGGCTTCATATGAGATTTACAAATTTGCTAGGGACGTCGTTGAAAACATTTAAAGGAAAACCCAAAACCAATATACACAGCTAACCAAATAAAAAAAATCTCAATTATTGAAAGATAAAAAAAAATTGAAAAGGAAAAACTATAAAAAGTATTTGAAACAAACTTTTTATCATTTTAGTCAAAACTAACATAAAAAAACTCACACCCACAGCGTTATTATAACAAATTCTTCGAGTTTACTATATCAGAGGCATCAAGCGGGAATACGGTCAAACGTAAGCGTGGGTGGACTTTAGAAGGAGTACGGAATAAAGTTAATTAAAAGGTAAACACCTAATTTGACAATATGTAAACTTATTTACCAAATATGTGTCTGCATTTTCGTGATAAAAAAAATAAAGGAAATATATAAGAGACGTGATCAAACCATGAAATCATATTTTTTTAAACCTTTTTATCATAAAAAGCCAAATTTAAAAATATATCAACAAAAAATTGGGTATGATTATGGGTTACTTGAAACACAAGAATTCAATAAATGGTTTTCTTTTTTTTTCTTAAAAGCCGCACGTTGTTACCATATTAAAACCATAGAAAAAGAAAAGGGAATTGTGGCCTGAAGAGTCGTTACCTTTTTAGCATGTCTAGCGTTTTTATGAAAAAACAGAGAAGAGACAAGACACTTGCAACATTTTAAACCAGAGTATTATAGAGGTGAGTTCATGCACTGGAGAGGGTGAGTTTATTCACTAGAGAGGTGAATAAGAGGTCTAATCATCATCAGAAACAGACCCTTCGTGATCAGAAGGTTCGTAATCATCATTGTAGCCGTACTCGTCATGGAATTGAAGGAAGGGAATCCACTGTTTGCGAGTGAGTTTGTCAACATCAGGCAATGGGTTGGGATTTGCTGCAAAACAGAATATATGAGTGAGTGAAAAGAAATCAAATGGAAGAAAAGAAAAGGAGATTAAAAATATGCAGCTATTACCATGATATGGGACTGGAAGTACACGAGAAGAGGCAGAGACTTTGTCCTTGGCATGTTTAGGAGCTGAGGGTGCAACCTTGCCTTTGCCTTTGATGTCAAAGAATAAAAACAAGAAGAAAAGCAATAAATCCACAGAGAGTGAGAGAAGAGGATGTCAACGTGAAAACAAAAACAAAAAACAGAATTAAAGACCAACTCTAACCATGATTTGGAGCTGGCAGTGGAAGAGAGGAGGCAGGGATCTTGTCTACGCCATGTTTAGGAGCTGTGCCTTGGAAAAGGTCAAAGAAATAACAAAAGTTGAAGAGATTTCGCAATCATTCCACTACAAGCAAGTCACAATCCAGAGGTAAATACATATAACATACAGACGAACAAAATATCTTGCTTTACAACTGATTAAACAAGTATTAACAAAAACAGATCTCAAAGCCACTTACCATGAGATGGAACTGGAGGAAGAGAAGAGGTGAGGGCCTTATCATGATCATGTTTAGGAGCTTTGGATTTGCCTTGGCGTGAAGAAGCACCTGGAGGATTTCAAGGAAGAAACAAACTTCATAGGTAGAAAGGATGGGTTGGATAGATATCAAAAACTTCATCGCTAGATCAATTACTTCCTTGAGAATGTAACTAGCTATGAAGCCACACTCATAGAGTCATGATTAGCGAAACAAAGCCAGACTCATAGAGCAATATCACCAAGCAATCAAGCGAATCCAAATTCATCCAAGCTTGATACAAACAATTAATATCACATAGTTTACAGTGAGAATATCAAGAAGATGTCAGTGTGAAAAAAAAAAACAGAATTAAAGCCCAACTCTAACCATGATTTGGAACTGGAATTGGAAGAGAGGAGGCAGGGATTTTGTCTACGCCATGTTTAGGATCTGTGCCTGGAAAATGTTAAAGTTTAAGAGAGTTCACAATCGTTCCATCACAAGCCACAATCCAGAGGTAAATACATCAAAGTAGGCTGCTTAGTATGATCAATGAGGAAAAGCGAAATCAAGTATAAGCAATTTCAGAAGCTAAATAAGTCCAGCGAAAACATATATATTACATACATACAAACAAAATTATCTTGCTTTACAAGTGATTAAACAAGTATTAACAAAAACAGACATTTACCATGATATGGAACTGGATCATGTTTTGGAGCTTTGGATTTGCCTTGGCGTGGGGAGGCACCTGGAGGAGGTCAAGGAAGAAACAAACGAATTGATCTGTTGAATAGATATCAAAAACCTCATCGCTAGATCTATTAACTTCCTTGGGAATAGATCTATTAACTTCCTTGAGAATAGATCTAGCTATGAAGCCACACTCATAGAGCCATGATTAGCGAAACAGAGCCTAACAAAGCAAACATCTAACCGATTCGTTAACCAAGTAATACAGAAAATCCAATTTCATACAAACACTGAATATCACATCGATTACAGTGAGTATCGTCCCGAAAAGGAAACGAAAACTAACTACGAGGCGAAAATGGATCATAGAGCAAAAACAAAGTCTATATTTGGAAACAAAACCACAATCACAGAAGAAAAAACACGATCAAGTCGCAGATTCGTTCCGAATCACAATTCATCAGGCGAAAACAAATTCGATACGAACTACATAGCATCTCAGAATCGCCGAAACAAAGAACAACTGAGAAATTAACAAAAAAGAAGCTCCAATACCTAGAGAATCTGAGAGATCCTTTCGTTTTCTGCTGTCCATCGCTCAGGGAATTCTCCGATTTTGAAATTTGATGACAGAGAAAGATGGAGGTTTTAGAGAGCGGGAGGGGAAAACAAAAAATAGTTTTTTAATTTTTTTTTGTGTGAGAAACAATGAAATTTGGCATGCCACGTTGGCAATGAGTTACTCTTTTCAAAAGATTTCAACCCAAGTCATACATCCTCATCGGAACCAAATTTATTTCTCTTTTAACAACAAGAAACACAAAAAACGATTCATATATAAAAACCAAACAAAACAAAATTCTCAAAATCTCCATTACTTCTGGTATGTAATCCCAACTATTTCCACCTTATATATTCATAGATGAAAGATACACACAGATCACAAACTTGAACATACAAACAAATCACAAAATTGCATTACAACATTTTCCAAGAATCATGTGTTTTCATATTGGAAAAGTTGTGAATGTTCTCAAAGTTTTATGAAATGGTTTGAGAGACAATGAAAAAAAAATATGAAATCCAAACAGAGAAACTCGATGAGACAAAAAGCCTAAAGGTGTCCCTCATGCATATATATATATATTACAAGAAGGAAAATAAAGAACTACTAGTTTCCTAAACTACAAAAATCAGAGAATATTTTCACCAATCATACGCTTAATGATATATTACTATAATCTCTCTCCGGATATCAATTTCACTATCCTTTTTCAGGAAGGTTGTGAATATTTCAAGAGTCTTTTCTATAAATATATAAATAATTTAATACTCATTCATCGAGACAAATATCTTTTGAATATTATTAGTTAGTTTGCTTTTTCTATATCCATGTAGGTCAGCGTTTAATTTTGATCATATTAAATTATCTACGTGCCGCGCTACATGTACTGTTCCAGAGTTTTACGCATTCAGCATTCAGCATTCAGCAAACCGGCCAATGTTTACACACCCGGTCAAGCAACAAAAAAAAGCCCAATCTTTCTTTTAACGTACATGCTGTTATTATTATTTTTATTTTTTTTTACTTGTACAATTTAATTCTGTAAAGTCTCAGATCGCCTTAGTCTTTTTTTTTTAGAAAAAATATCTTAGCAATCTCTACTCTGTCTTTCTCTACTACTCTTTTCCATGTATGACTTCCAAGGTGTCATTATTTTTCCATTAATATGTTGTACAAGAGCATACATATACTATATACCACAAATGTCTCTGCCAAATGACCAGTATTTTACTAAAAATGACGTGTGCATGGCTGTAGTTGCTTGAGCTAATTTGGTAGATCCTCTCAGGCTCCTATCTAACTGATCTAAGCAAGAACGATCACCAGTATGTAATGCAATGCGGGATATATAGTTTACCAGTGCCGGCATATACAGTTAGGTACAAAAATGACCAAGTTGTGTGAAATCATAATTTTTTATCTTTTTAACGGGTCTAAGCATATACTCCCTATGTTTCAAAAAATTTCATAAGGAAACTATATAGAATTTTGATCACCAATGCATAAATAAACACACATATTTTTGAAATTTACAATTTACCATTAACTAATATATTGAAAATGTAAAATATGTATTTTTGAAACATTTTTTTTTCTAAAAATATGCATCTTTTTATAACGGAAGAAGGAGTACATATAAACAGACATGGAACAGTAATATTTTTTTGAAAAATTATGTTACACAGCTTACTTGTCGTAACAGAGAACGAAGGTGGCACATGGGCAATGACGGTGTGATAATTGTGGTATATACATCGACTAAAGATTTATATACTGTAAGGTGTGAACATAGATAGGGACGATGAATATTCAAAATTAGTTTCATCCGCAATGTTTCTTTTACCAAGTACAACTTCAACCCTGAAGGTAAATTAAAGAAGCACTTAGCGTGTGAAAAAAAAACACCTGTGAAAGTATAAAAAATATGTAATTGTTCATCATATACCGAAAATAATAGACCATAAACTTGATGTGAAAATAATGCCGATAAATTACGTGTGCATGGATGTTTGTTGCATGAGCTCATATCGTATAGATCCTCTCAGACATGGAGAATGGAGGTGGCACATGGGCAATGACGGTG